TGGGTCGGGCAAGAGTTACACAGGTCTGTATTTTTAAAAGGTGCATAAACAAAATTTGTTTGTAGTGCCTCATAACTGGTTAAGTCAAAAAATAGAAGGTGACGCAACAACCTAGAACATGTTTAAGAATTCCAGTTCATAAGCAGGATGAACTACCAGAGTTTGATCATAGCAATTTTGATGTCATCTTCTTTGATGAAATCTAAATGACCAATCTTGGAAAAATACTTTACTGAAAAACACAAGGACAATAAAATCATCATAGGCGCCGGTGATACAAAACAGCTAGAACCAATCACAGATTTAACTAACACCCAGTCAAAGACCACAATATGGTCAAAGTTGTGCTTAGTGTGTTCTCTGAAATCAATGAAATTGTCCAAAAAGTTCATTTGATATCTGAAAATATCACTCAAACAGGCATGCAACAGGCAAAAATGGTAGATCTTTGGGGGGGTAGCTAGACATATATATATATATATACAAGAGACGTCCAAGGTTGGACACTATATAGGCGCCTCCTGCCACATCCTGTTGTTGGGCCTCTTTTTGAGTTGAAAACCTTTGAAAGTGGCGAAGACCACGAAAACGACGACTGCACGAAAACCACGAAAACGGTGAAAACGACAAAAACGCGCAAACGGTGAAAACCGCGAAAACGCGAAAACGGAAAACGACGAAAGCGGCGAAAACGGGAAAACGGCGAAAACGACGAAAACGGCGAACACAGTTTTCTTTCTTTTTCTCGTTTTCACGCTCAAAGACAAGACAAGCAAGAATACGTAAGAAAACTGGGGAAAAAACTTCCACACGGCAAAACGCGATAACGGGTTTCTCGGTTTTCTGGTTTTCTCGGTTTTGCCGTCGCATCGCGCGGGCCACGACGCAGGTCTTGTGTTCTTAGCTAGGGTGGAGGCCATCTCTATTACGGTGGAGGCCATTGCTACTAGGGTGGAGGCCATCGCTATCAACCTCAAAACCATCGCTACTAGGGCGGAGGAGGCCATCGCTACTAGGGTAACCAGGGTGGAGGCCATCGCTATTAGGGTGGAGGCCATCGTAAGTAGGTTGGAAGCCATGGTCAAAGTTTTTTTCGGAAACTAAAAGGTGATCTTCGGAAACTTTACGGTTTTCTTCGGAAACTAATCTTCGGAAACTATGCGGCTTTCTTCGGAAACTTTACGGTGTTCTTCGGAAACTGTTAAGTGGAAACTAACCTTCGGCAACTCAAAAGTGATCTTCGGAAACTTTAAGGTTTTCTTCGGAAACTACTCTTCGGAAACTCTACGGTGTTCTTCAGAAACTAATGTTCGGAAACTACAAAGTCGAAGAGCAACATCAAACCTGCACCAAAAACTGTCTGCAGATCGCAAAACAAGCATGTATATACCGTAGCCGTCACAAGGTACGTCAATATCCCACCCACCTACCCACCCACCCACCCCCCACCCGCAAGAGGGAAGAGTATACCCTATGCGCCGCGCAGTCTGCCTTGAGATAATTTAAGCTAACATAATTAAATATAGAAATTAAAAACTACATATAACTACTATATCACAAATAGAGGATTAAAATTGGGCAGTCGTCCGAGATGTTCAGATTTCTACATGATGAATTAAACAAGTTTAAAAAAATACAAAAGATTACGATATAAATGTTGCTTTGTTTTTTGGCGCCTTAAACAAATTAAACAAAGAAAGATTTGGGTTTAAACTTTTAAAAGTTTTGAAATCTTTGGGAGCCTTAGAAAATTTTAAAAAAGTAAAAATATATATCGAAATCTTTAAAAGTTCAATAATTTTTCAACATGTTTCAGAGCCTCCAAAATTTTAAAGTTTAAAAATATAAATCGTAGGACTGTTCTCAAACATCCCCAGGTTTCCAGATGATTGAAAATTTTCAAAAACTTACAAATTTTTAAAGATATAAATCAAAATCTTTTGTATTTTTGAAATTTCTGAATTTTTTTCAAGGCTCCGAAAAATTTAAGAAAATTTAAAAAATTAAACGGTTTCGATTTATACTTGAAAAATTTAAAATCTTTTAAGGCTCCAAAAATTTGAAAAATTTAAATCGGACTGTTCTCAGAGATCGCCAGATTTCCAAATGAGTTTTAAAGAATCCTAAAAATATAAAAGTGTGCGCTCTAAATTTCTAAATTTTTAAAATTTGTCGGAGCCTTGAAAAATCTAGAAAATCTAAAAAATATAAAGCTTTCGTATTTTTTAAAATCTTGTAAAAATTTTAAGTATTGAAATCATCTGGAAATCTGGGGATGTCTGAGAACAGTCCTACGATTTAAATATTTTAAATTTTTAAACTTTCGGAGGCTCCGAAAAATTTAACAAATTTTAAACAATATAAAAGATTGCGATTTAAATTCTATACGTCTATAAATTTTTCGGAGCCTTGAAAAAAGTTAAAAAGTTGATAAAATATAAAAGACGTCGATCTATATTTTTTAACTTTCTTAAAATGTTTAAGGCTCCGAAAAATTTTAAAAAATGAAAGATTTAAATCGGACTGTTCTCAGAGATCACCAGATTTCCAAATGGTTTACAAATTTTAGAAATTTAAAAAATATAAAAGGTTGCGATTTAACTTTTTAAAATATTTTATCTTTTAAATTTTTCGGAACCTTTAAACATTGAAAAAGTTTAATAGTTTAAAAATAAGACCTTCTTTTTCGTGAAATATTTATTGAATTTTTTAGGTTTTTTAAGTTTATAAACCATGTGGAACTCTGGCGGGGGTGTCTGAGAACAGTCCTACGACTTAAATGTTTTAAATTGCTTAAATTTTCGGAGGCTCCGAAGAATTTAAAAAATATATAGCTTGCGATTTAGATTTTTAAAATTTTTTTGGAGCCTTGAAAAATTAAAATTACTAAACAACATAAAAGATTTCGATTTACATGTTTTAAATTTATGATTTTTTTGAATCTTTTAGATTTTTAAATCATCTGGAACTCTGGGGATGTCTGAGAACAGTCCTACGATTAATTAGTTCCAATTTTTGAGGTTTTTGAAGGCTCCGAAAAATTTGAAAAAATTAGATCGGACTGTTTTCAGAGACCTCCAGATTTTTACATGATTTAAAACTCTAAAAAATACTAAATTTTCTCAACATCTTTTATATTGATATGTTAAATACTCGGTTTTTAATTGTGTATGCGCATAGTGTAACAGGTTGACCTAGAGCAAGTGCCTTTTGGGCGCCGCCCGGTGTAACAGGGTAGTGTTGTGCTAGGTTGCGCTTGGCTTCTTGGCGCCCGGTGTGACAGGGTAATGTTTTTCTAGCTTTGGGTTCGCGTCGCCGGGTGTAACAGGGTGATATCTTGTTAAAGGCTGTGTTTGGTTTCGCGTCGCCCGGTGTGACAGGGCGATGTTGCGTTAAAGGCTGTGTTTGGTTTCGCGTCGCCCGGTGTGACAGGGTGATGTTGTCCTACCTTAACTGGCACTGAGGGCTGGCAACTGGCGGAAAGGAAATTGGATGAGGAAACTGGAGAAAACTAGGGCCAGCTAAACTGTTTAACTGGCACTGGGGACTAGCAATTTAAATCCTGAGGTTCACTACGCTTTTGAAATGTCGAAATTAAAAAACGGTTGTTTCCAGTGCATATATAGGCATAAAGGATCTGCGCACCCAGAAGATAAATCCTGACTTGGCCTCTAAGTTGGAGAGAGGGGGTGGGGTGGGGTCTAGGGTTATTTTGTATTGAATAAAAACTGTTTCTGGGGGTGGGGTCAGGGGACAGGAGAAAAATGTAACTGTTAAAAAGGGTGTCAGGAAAAAGATCTGAGTGAATACACGACCCAAAACATTTCTTTTTTTGAAGTGACCATCATAACCCTTTTTCTTCCCTCTAACATTTATCATATGGAAGGTGTTAGAGAAGATTGCGAACATTTTGGGACTACGGATTGACTAAGAAGAAGAAAAAGAAGAAGAAGGAGAGAGGGAAAGGAGAAGAAGGAAGCACATATCAGCACACTGCGACCATGTGCTCTCACCAGTTGCTTGCCTCCCAGGATGTTGCAAAGATATTAAAAACTATACGAAAATCAAAATACACTGCATTTATGTCCTTGACTGTCGCATGTTGGACTGATGACCTCCACTTTTCCTCTTTCCCACTTGTTCCGAGTACTTCCAAATTGAATTCAGCCGCCCACCTTTCACTTTCTTTCACTGTTATCCAGTGACTTTTTGCTTGGCGCCGATTCTTCGTGCTGCCGCCGATGCTGCAGCCGAGCAGCTGGTAAACCACTATGTCCAAAAGGGACACGCAGCAATCGATGCAAACGGTTTTTGAGGGCAAAAGATTGCTAGCCTTTCGGAGTGCCGATTTCGGCAACTTGTGTGTGTCACACTCTGTCCCGAAGAGTTTTTCGTTAAGTGCAGGGGCGTGCAGCTTCTGTGGTGCACTGCGCGCAACGAAGCTACGACCACGGGTGGGAAGGGGTCAAGGACGGTTGATCCTGTTCCTGCGATGTGACATTACTCCAATCTTTCTGCGCGGTGGTTTGTTTCCATGGCCGTTCTCATGATAGACCCCAAAACATTTTCCTCCGCCGCTTTCTGCCGACTTTGAGCCGCTGTCCCATCCTGCAGACAATTGAACAGATTGTTCAACCATTCAGTTGCGCTGACCGCTTCACCTTTCGTTTCCCTCATCCATTTCCTCGTAGAACAGAGTTAACTGCAAACCCATTGCCTAAGTGTGTGTGTGTGTGTTGATGGCATTATGAAAACTGGAGACACTGTTCATCTCTTCAGCTATGTATGCAGCCAAGAATGAAGGTAATAAATGTCAACTCAAGCGGTACCTTATGAAGAAGCTTCGCACGCTTCGAATCAAAGTGCGCTATCCTCCGCTGGCTGCTAATTCTTTCCCGACAAAGGTTCAGCCACCTTGAGAAAATTTCAGGACTTGTCCACACATCAGCGTTCTCATGGATCCTCCCCATCTCAGCATCCATTCGCTCAGCCAAAGCGGCTTTCGATCCAAAAAGGTTTTCAATGAGGTATGATGATCATATCCTTCCTGTCGAACGAAAAACACATCTCCTGGGCGCAGAGTCACGTGGCCAGCTGAGAAAAGGGTTTCACTTGTCACTTGTCCTATAGATCTCCACATTGGCAGCGCTCAAGTCAATGTGAGACTACGAGATACTTGACTTGGAGGTGGATAGCATGGTCCTTTGGAACACCCGTTTTTGAGTAAACACAACCGGCGTTCAACGCATCGGAGTCCGGCGGCGGGGGGTGATCCTTTGGAGTCCTCGTGACAGTGCAGTTTCAGAGGTTCGATGGCACAATCTCCAAGGTCGTGGTTTTTGTTGCCCCTTGGAAATTGAAGGAGAAGATCCTTGGGCTTGCTCCATCTACTCTGAAACCACTGTAGCCCAGTTTGACCATTCGTACAGCATGTGACTGGAAAGCAGATGATCAACAAACGTCCAAAACGGCACTCATTTGCATCGTCATATACCAACGGATACTGACAAATGCCAAACGCCTTCACCGGGTCTGTTTAAGGTGCATACCTAGTTCCAAAAATCAAGGGTTCATGTGGTTTGGAGGGAACGCTTATTCACCCTCTGCAGAATAAGTTTGTGTGAGTTTGTCACACATGATGTTCGCTACAGTTCCCAATTTTGCAGGGAACCCATCGATTGCCTTAGCACCATCACGACCGCGCTGATCTCCGACCCATTCGATCCACCAGGTCTCGTTGCACTTGCCGCTTCTCCCGCACCGCAATCAGCCGTGCCACCTGCCGTAGCTGCCGGGTCAAGTCGAAATCGTTCGCCTCGAAGCTGGTCTTCAAGAGCGAGTTCCTGTCATCAGCGGTCACTGAAGATGGATTCGAAGCTAAAACTTGAGCCATCACGATTTGTGCGCAAAGAATGCACTTGACAAGGTTTACGTTTACGTGGAAATTTGAGGGCGCTTGGCGAACCCATTTATGCTAGGCATTTCACATCATCAGAAACACGAGCGCACGGATAGCTAGCAGTAAAGTAATTTAGTTTGGTCATTTTTCGAGAACAATGCTCGCGCACACAGTCCCGCTGCTCCGACCTTCTCAACACTTAAAAAGTATCTCTTGACTCTTCGGAGCCCATGGCCTGTGTCTTCACAAACACAACCCTCATGTCCATGGGTGGGACATGATGTTTCTCAGCGCAAGAAATTCTTCCGGAGATGTTTCATACCTGAAAGTAACAGCGTGCACCTGCAGCCGCTCTCATGCCCACCAGGTCCAACATCCTCCAACACCCCCGGGATCGACTGTTCTTGCCTGAGGTACTTTGTGAGGTCGGCATCAAGTTGCAAAGCTGCAGCCACACGTCGGTTGTACTCCTCAAAGTAGAAGTTTCCATGTCGGATGCTTGTGATGTTGTCCACCACCGCCTGGCACAATCCGACCGACCACAGGCAAGGCCCTGTTATATAAACTCACACGATGCCTCTGTCTGAGGCAGGCGCGTCAGAGAGAGAGAGAGAGAGAGAGAGAGACAGACAGGCAGGCAGACAGACAGACAGCCAGCCAGGCAGGCAGGCACAAAACAGAGACAGAGACAGAGACAGAGACAAAGACAGAGACAGACAGAGAGAGAGAGACAGAGAGAGAGAGAGAGAGACAGAGAGAGAGAGAGAGAGAGAAAAAAAAGAAAGAGAGAAACACAGAGAGAAAGACAGAGAGAAAGACAGAGAGAGAGAGAGAAATGTAAAAACTGTTCCTTTCACGTTTGCGCACGTCAGTTGTATTGTTTTCCTCTGAAATGTCCTTAGGCTCAAGGCCCTTGATCCAAGGTGCATTGTGAAGCACCAAGCCATTGTACATGAACACTACGATGGAGTAGACATGCGATTGTACAAAAGATGGTCTCTTAACACCGTCCCTTGGTTTGACTCATTGTTGAATCACACCATCTCCATAAACATTGTTGAAACCGGAAAGAAACATTTTTGTACACAAGGCAGTTCAAAACTTGTTGGCAAGTCTGTACAGTTCTTTTCTGCATCATTGTCTCTTCAGCATTGTTGCCATCTCTTGTCGTTGCGCTCGCGGTGCATGTAGGCATTGTCTCTGCCAGAGATCTGCAGGTTGTTGGGCTATTGTCCTAGCCCTGCGTTTCCTCCATGTTGTCACCTGGAGATTGTCGGGGACGCTTTGTCCCCTTCTCTTCTTCTCCTTCTGACATCTCCACCTCGATTGCGTGGGCCCGCTCCTTGATGTACTTGCTGTGGTCTGGGTGACCACGTTGTTGCCTCTTTGGGATCGTCACATGGTATGTGTCAATCCCTTTCTCAGCCTTGTATTGTCCCAAAGCCAATTGTACATCTTCTGGAAGTTGAGACTGTCCATATTGTCCCAAATGCGTCAGGGCCATTCCATTCCCAAAATTGCGTGGTGAGGTGAGTCCTCTCAGATTGTCAGCATGGTCTTCACATGCATTGTGTGACCGGAGTTCCAGATCCACCCATTGGACCAGCTGTGTTGGTCAAACTTGTTGGTGGCATTGTAATTCAAATGCAGTGCCCTCACATTGTTCTTCTCGGCCTCGGTGAACCGGTAATTGCGCGGCGCGTGCGCCTGAAGCACTTGTACACTATAGCCGCGTTGAAAGGAGGATAGTTTCTTCACCGCCATGTGGTGTGCCATATTGTGGAGGTCGAAGCTGATGGCCAGGACAATTGTCTGGTCATTTGCCATTGTATGCCCCATTGACTGGTGATAGGCCAACCATTGTACAGCCTCTTCAGTTGTGGGCAGCATGATAAATTGCTCCCAGTTGCCTGGCTTTCTCAAGCTCCCAGGCAACTTGTCAATCTCATTGTCCTCATTAGCATCATTGTGTCCTCCACTTTTGTCACTGCAGCGAACCAATATGTGAAGATATTGTCCAGAATGTCACACCAAGGACTGTCCTTGTAATTGGGCGGCAAAATGACTTGGCTCTCCACATTGTCCTCATTGTACAGGATTGCTCGATCCTCCCCAAAGAAATTGTCGAATTCCTGGGGAGTCGGCGCTGATTATGGTAATCAGGAATTGTCATCTCTACGGCCATTGTTGCCCTTGAGATTCTTCCCCAAACAGTAGATCCCGATTGTGAGCGCTTGTGAGCTGGAAAGCGGCTGCGGTCGAAAGAATTGTTGACAAATTGTCAACTGAACATGCATCGTCTTCCAAATGCAAAACTTCACACGCAATTGTTCATCACATTGTTCTCCGAAAAGACGGAAAGAAAAGTCGGATCCATTGTGACACTGAAATCTTGTAGTACGTATTGTCTATGACAGAATAGTGTGGGCTCGATGCCCCCGTATGTGTATTGTATACACGCATAGACGCTGCCGTGGTTGTGAAGCTGATCTGTACGGCCGTTGTTCAGTTGTGGTGTTGTGGGCGTTGAATGCCCGCCATGTAGAGGTGTTTGTTAAGCACCTCTGCCGGGACATACTTTGTCAGTATGTCTGCTGGGTTGTCATGCGTGCTGATCTTGTGTATTGATGGGATCCCGCTTTGTACCAGTTGTTGTATGAAGAGGTATTTTAGGTCAATGCGCTTTGCTTTCTTTGACGAGCCAATTCTTGTCGCTATGCTCTTTCCGCTTGCGCTGCCGGTATGTATACGAATGTTCACCCTTGTTGTTGTTGCTTCCTTGATGAAGTTTGCTATGTGCTCCTGTGCCAATTGCATAAAGCTCTGATTCTTCTGATGATAGTGCTACTACTGCTTGCGCGCTGCTTCCAAATTGTACCACGGACCCCATCATTGTCACGATGAACCCACTTGTTGATTTCCTTGTGCTTGGGCATCCTGCCCAGTCCGCATCGATAAATGTTGAGGTGGATGGGTTCCTTTGTTTGTGGCGTATGCATTGTCCTCAGGATCATTTTGTAGCGCTGTGTTCCCCTGAGGCATCGTAAAAGATGCTTCACCTTGCGTAGGCTATGTTGCGTGGGTTGTTGTAAGTCTCGTGCCAGTTCTTTTGTTGCAACGCTGATGTCTGGTCTTGTGTAGGTCAGCCACTGTAGCTTTCCTACTGCTCTCCCGTAAGTCTGCATGTCCTTGTGCGTCCAAAGGTGCATCATCGTTTGTGGATTGTTTCAGGGTTGCCGTCCCTGGAGCTGATGCTGGATTGCTTGTTTCCATTTTTGTTTCCTTCAACAATGTTGTGATGTATTCTGGCTTGAGGCTCACTTCAAAGCAATCTCCATTGTTGTGGGTGTCTCTGCCTAAGAATTAGATTGTTTGACCAATTCCCAGTGTGCCAGTTGGTCGTAGTAGTACATGCTTTTGTACTAAATTGAAAGTCTTGTCGACTTCTTGTTGTTGTCCCAAGAATAGTAGGTCATCTACATAGACCGTCACAAACATTGTCTGTTCAGTGTTTCTGTACACGTTGGGTTCGCTTGTCAGTCGAGACAGTCCCATTTGTTGTAGGACTTGTGCAAAGTGATCCTGCCAAGATTTAAGACTTGATCGTAGTCCATAGATTGCTTTGTTAAGCTTCCACACTGTGGTTGTGTTGTGACCACTTGGGTATAGTTCTGGCGGTGGCCACATGTAGAGATTGTCAGTTGCTGCTGGTGCGTGCAGGAATGCTGTTGACACATCCCCTGCTTGTATTGTCCAATGGTTGCGCTGCGCCATTGTCAGTAGTATACGTAAGATCGCAAAGATTGGCAGTGTGAAGTCCACTTGTGTCACTGGTTGTTTGCTTGCTTGTCTTGGATGATTGTCTGTTCTTCCTTTGCTCTTGACACATATTGGGCACCATGAACGGTACGGCAAATGTGTCAGCTCATGTTCAAGCCTTTCTTGTCTTGTTGGTTGTTGCGGCGCCTTCATTCCTTTGGCGCGTTGTGCTTGTTGAGGTTCATCTTCATTGTCCGTGTCGTACTCGTATTTGTATTGTACCTCTTCCTCGAAGTTTGTTGATCCAGTCCATTGTCTGTCGAGCGGTCTTGCTCCTGATTCGTGCCAGTTGTCGTTGGTTGTATATCCTCTTCCTTGTTCCGTTCTGTTCACGAATGTTGTCCTTGTCGCTTTGAGTCGTCCAATGTCTGGACCAACGTCTGTTTGCTGTGGTACGTACATTGTCGTCCGTACTTGTACGTGAACACGTTTCCAATAGTGTCCTTCTCTGATCCAATAGTCTCTTGCTGGTGTCATTGTGGACGGATGAGGTATTGCCGTGGTTGTTGGAACTGGCTTCTTTGTTGTGTGTCGGAATAGTGGGTCTCTGTTGACCTGCTGCGTTGTTCCGTCTTGTTCCGGAAGTTGTAGTGCTGTTAACTGTTGGCTGTTGTCGCACTTGTGGCGCCTGTTGTGCTTTCTCTGCATGTCTGCTCTGTTGTCTTCGATGTTGTAGTTGCCGGTTGCGCTGGCGGCTTGTTCACTCTGAACCGTGTTTCTCCTGTCCATGTATCTCCTTGTATCACGCGTCGTTTCATGCTTGCTCAAGTCATGGTATTGTTCTACGAGGTCCTCGTTGTTTCCGTCTGTTCGTCGGATGATTGTTCGTCTGTAGTTGCTCAATGTCTCCAGTGGTATACTGGGCAATTGTCGCCAGGAACGAGGAGAGCCTTCCTCTTGTTCCGGTGATACCGTACAAGGTATCCTTCATTGTTGTAGTTCCAATAGTCGCTGTTGCCTCCAAGGACTTGTTGTGGTCCACGTCTTGCCAGTGTTGTTGGGGCAATCATTGCAATCATGCCCTTTTGTGTATGTCTCAGCTGTAGTTGTTGATGTTGTCCCAGGTCCATAATTGTTGCTGGCAAGTAGTAGAGGTTGTGCTGTTGCACCAAGGGAACATTGAATCCCTTGTCATGGCGAATTGTGGGGGGGTCGTTGAACCTGATGTCAAAGCCTTGTTCTGCCAGTCTTGTCACTGACAGGATTGGGTCGTGAATGTCACACACATAGAAGGGTATGACAATTGGTTGTCCTCTGGATTGCATGTAGACCCATCTCACGCCATAGCATTGTATTGTCTTGTTTGTCACTGTCCTGAGGTTTGGACTTTGTGCTTGGTCGATCTTGTGCGCGGGATAGTTGTCTGCGAACCATAGTGGGCAGACATGTGTGGCTGCTCCACTGTCGATCATGATGTGTATAGTTTGTTGTAGCTGACTTGTGGTCATTGCCATTGCTGATCATGGCAATGACATGGATTGGTGTCATATCGCGATTGCTTGTGGATGCAATTGGCGGAAGTGCCAATGGCTGTTGTATCTGTTGTGGCTGTCTTGTGTAGTCGTCATACCATTGTGTTGTCGTGTCTTCAAAGTCATTGCTTTCTCCTTGTCCAATGTTATGTATTGCCACTCGGCAGTCTTTGGCATAGTGTCCTGTTCGTCCGCATCTGTAGCATGCGTCTGTCGCTTGTTTTCCTTTGTTCTTTCCTTTGCCTTTGTTGTATCCTTTGCTGAATCCTTTGTTTCCTTTGTTGCCTCTTCCGAATGGATTGCCAAATCCAATCGGAATGTTGTTGTAGTTGTTGAATCCTTTTCCTCCATACTTTCCTTTCCCTTTGTAGTTGTTGTTGTTGTAATTGTTGTAACCGTAGCCGTTGTATCCTCCGTAGCCTTTGCCTTTGTGTTTTCCTTTTCCTTTACCCTTTCCTTTGTTGCTGTTGTATTTGCCTTTTCCTTTGCGGATTGCATCAATGTCCATAGTAGGCGCTTGTCCACCAGCGAAGTTTGTTGCCACGCTGGACGATTGTGTTCGCAGTTGCTGTAGTTTGCTGAATGCTGTTGTTGGTCGATAGTACTCGATGATGGTTTGCTTGACTCTTGTATAGCTTGGGCTTTGTCCTGAAAGTAGTTGCAAGTGCTGTTGAAATGGTCCACTTGTTTCATTGAGTGGTACTGCTATCTTCACAGCATCTGGAAGTGTTTGTCCATTGTCTCGCTCAAATCGTTGTAGCTCAAATTCCCATGTTGAGAATGATTCTTCAAAGTTGTTGTTGTCAAATTTTGGCTTCAGCCAGTAGTCTTGTGAGGTGTCCAATGGACCTTGTGCCCAATGGAATGGAGAAGCGGATGCACAATTGTCTGTACATCTCGAAGCCAATTGTATGTTGATGTTGTCTGCGTACTGTTGCTGCAGCTCCTGTTGTTGTATTGATGAGGATGTACCTCAAACCTGTACTGAGGCGAACATGTCGTTCACCATCTTCAATTGTTGATGCTGCTGCTCGTAGTTGTATCTCTGTGAGTTCTGCTGTGGCTATTTCTGCTGCTTGTAGCAACTCTGTGTAGTCGTTGTCCTGCAATCCCATGTATGCTGTGAACTTGTACTTCCATTCTTCGAACGTGCCATAGTCTCCATTGAAGAAAGGTGGTTTGAATTTGTATCTGTTCATGTTTGCCATTTTTGTTATTGTCTCATCTTCTGGGACTGGAGGCAATTGTTCTCCTCCAGCCGGAGCTGCTGCTGTGGCTGCCATTGTTGCAGCTGTTCAGGCTACCTGTTGTAGGGTCAAGGCTTGTCCTCTGTTGTCTGTGTTTGTGTGTGCTTGTCCCTGTTGTTGTATTGGAGCTCACCTGGATTTGTTGTTACCAGGATCCTCGCTCCGCTACCATGTAAAATTCAGCAGCTGTTTGTTTCACGTTTGTGCTCAGTTGTATTGTTTTCCTCTGGCAGTTGTCCTTAGGCTCAAGGCCTTTGCTCCAAGGTGCATTGTGAAGCACCAAGCCATTGTACATGAACACTACAATGGAGTAGACATGCGATTGTACACAAGATTGTCTCTTAACGAGAGAGAGAGAGAGAAAGAGAGAGAGATCGCCTCTTTCTGCCTTGCCTACACCACCAAAGACAGAGACAGAGACAGAGACGGATCGTCTCTTTCTGCCTTGCCTACACCAGAGTGTCTTCCGCTACCTCCACCCGCTCGACCTAGCTGTAGCGCACCTGTAGCTGCTCTCGCTGTCTCAGACTCACATGCGAGGTGCCAACGATGTTCGGGATGGTCTCGCGGCCACTTGGCCAAATGGCATACCCGTCCATGGAGAAGGACATCGTGGGAAGCTGCCCTGGCGAAGAACTGGGCCCATCGCCACAAGAAAAAAGGAGTGACACGAGTGCAGAATCGCTGGCAAGAGCGAATCAAAGTTCAAGAAAGTCCGCCCGACTTGTTTGAGGGAAGTACGAGTTGCTTTGCCTTTTGAAATAGAACTACCAAAATACATGACCTAACAAGGACCTCAGGTAGCCCTATTGTTGATGACATGGATGTCACCGAGGTCTCTTCCACCAGCGGTTTTGCAGCCCCTCCTGCTGCCAAGGCGTCTGCCATTCGGCCCCCTCCACCCCGGGCTTTAGTGGAGATGCTCTGGCACTTCAATGTCATTGCTCCGCGTGTCTGGTCGGAATGAGAATGCAAATTCACCTCAGCGGACAAGTTGTAAGAGAGCCCAGGCCGAGCGGCGCGTCAAGTCACAAGCCCGAAGCCACGCGCGCACGAGAAGTTTGGGGTTTTCAAGTGTTACGGCGCGCTTCACACGGCGGTGGACAGCGCAATCCGGAATACGTCAGTCAAGGGCGGGAATCAACCGACAATTTCCTCGGCCATCCGCTTAATAAGACGCAGCTGGTGGCCACCCCTCCTTTTTAATTCGCTGCTCGCCGCTGGCCGCTGCTCTCAACAGTACATTTCCTTGTTAAGGCACCTTCAAGTGCGCTGACTCACCACCTCTCCGTTCTGCGCTACCAGTCAAGTGACCTGCATAACTGAACTCTACTGGACATTATGTTCCCTCACCGGAACTTTGAGTCTAAGTGTGACCTGCTGAATCTTCCCACCTGGGTACGTGTGATCCCCGCAAGGGCGCCGAAGCCAGACCGGATCGCCGCTTTCTGCAACACCATTTTTGCCCTGGAAGCCATTTGCCTGAACAGCGGATTCTCAAGGATCTTCTGCAATTTTACGAGTTCACGTTGATTCTTCACTGGAATTCTCTACTCCACTGCCTTCATCGAGTTTCATGTGACCCCCCCTTGGGGTTCGTTTCTTTTCTTTCTAGGTCTCTCTAGAGGCTTTTTAGGTGTGTCACCAGGCTTTTTTTGGTCAAGGGCTAAGTATTCATTCGTCTTTCAAGTCAAGGGCTTAGTACTCACCTTTTTACAACCTAAGTATTTCCTAAGCTGTCTACTGCTTTGTTACCTTCTTAACGCAAGCGCGCGCCGCTATGCGGCGATGTGTGTGTGTGTGTGCGTGTGTGCGCGTGTGTGTGTGTGCGTGTGTGTCATACCCCGGTCCCAGGGGTCACTCGTTTTCGCGTTCCTTTTCAAGTAGCGCAGGGGGTCGCTGGGGACTCGTGCAGCCAGCGACCAACGAAGACGCTGCACGTTTCCTGTGCAAACGTACCTGGGCGCTTTATAAGACGCAGCTGGTGGCCACCCCTCCTTTTCAATTCGCTGCTCGCTGGCCGCTGGCCGCTGATCTCTAGAGTACAATTCTTTGTTAAAACACCTTCAAGTGCGCTGACTCACCACCTCTCCGTTCTGCACTACCAGTCAAGTGACCTGCATAACTGAATTCCACTGGACATTATGTTCCCTCGCCGGAACTTTGAGTCTAAGTGTGTGCGCGCGCCCAAATTCGTAGAACTCAACCCACCCTTCCGCGAAACCAACCTCCGACCAGCCACGCACTTCTTCTTGTCGCTGTGGAGGTAGGATGTCTTGTTTACGGGCTCTGCTAATGAGCCAACATTGGCTGCGAAGGCTAAATGCCCTTCATCGTACAGCTCCTGGAAGAAAATGAGACACCCAGATCGTACCCGCTCGAAGGGATCCACCCCCAATCCTTTCACGCAATGTTTAAGGACACATAGCTCAAGCTTTCTCTGCTGTGATGAAATGACATGGAAGTGATCTATATCATCCTTAAGCCGAAACCCTTCATTCTGCCTCAAACAATTTCCTTTCGCATGAACCTTTCGCATGAAGTATGCTGGAGCACATCTGTCGCATTCAAAACCCTGAGTCAAAGTGGGCTGCAAACTCGAAGCCCTGCGTCAGTCAACACACGACTCTTGGTAAAGGAGAAGTGAAAGGAATCTCGCGAATCTGAAGAATCTGAATGGGAATTGTATCTATATATTGTGTATATACATGTACTCTAATGTATACTATATTTCTCGGCTTAAAGCCCTCCTCTATCTTTTAGTCCTACCAAGCATCAAATGATCCAGTCCTTGAAAGCGGTCAACATCGGACGCAAGCCAAAAGTGGAACATACCTGGTTTGCGGCAGTGATCTTGTGCAGCTCGCCCACATCCAGTGCAACGTCCTCGCGAGCCTCCAGGTACTCCTCATAAAGAGGGCAATCCATGGGCACTAACATGTTGAAACTGTCCACACCGCCACTCAAATAGAGCAAGACCACAGCCTTGTAGTCCTGTCGGTCTTGGACAATGCACGACAATGCTCACTCTTCATCTTTGCGAAGAGACATGAGATGACTGACCCATATACAAAACCCAAAGAACAAAACCTACCCCATTTTTTCACGTATTCTGGACGCAAAGAGAGCACAAAGTGCTTTCATTGCGTAGACAGATCGAACTGCGCAAATCTTGGGCTCATGTAGTCAGTCCGACAGCACGAAGTCTTCGGCGCCGCTTCATTTTCACTCATGGCTTGATGAAACGGGGTCTGCAAAAACACACACGGGCAGGAAACAAGATGTAACCCACGAACCCGAATGCAAGCACCTACTCCCAAACAAACGCCCAAACATTTCTTGACACTCTTGTAGGAGACACTCTTGTAGAACACTCTTGCGGGATACTCTCATGCGACACTTTCGTCACTCTGTGGGACACTCTTGCAGGGCACTCTTGTAGGGC